GAGCGACATTTCGTGCACGTTGGTGGTGGGCACACGAATGGTGGAGGGCACGCGAGTGACAACGAAAGATCTCTCGTATGGCGAGAGATCGAAGCCGCGTTCGAGAGTCGTATAGTGACGGGCGCGGTGATAAACTCTAATCACATCGAGCCTCGCCGATTTCCCGAAGACGCTGGTGATATAGTGCTAGAGCGAGTGCGGGACGCTGTAGAAACACACGATAGTGCAAAGGTGAACACAGCGTTCAACGGTGAGTTCGCGACAAAAAACAAACGCACCAATAAGAGTATAATTACTAAGAACAGCGAGATTTATCGGTGCACCGCGAGTGGTACGTGACGCGCGTCGTCGAGCTCACATTAGCATCGCTCGAAGAGTTTTAGGAACGCGACAGTGGGTGGGCGCTGTTGCGAATCCACAACTTGATTGTTAACGTGAACAAACTAAATCCCATGCACGCGGGATGTCACGTTGAGGTGCCGCGAGAAATAGCGGCGAAACGAGCGGTGATCAGTGTGCGTACGACGGACAATGCGTGCTTCGCGTGGTCAGTGGTCGCCGCTCTGTACCCGGCCGAAAAGTATACGGAGCGAGAATCGTCGTACCCGCATTACACAACTGTGCTAAATTTTGCGGGTATCGAGTTTCCAATGACACTAAAAGACATTAACAAATTCGAACAATTGAACGTGATGTCGATCAACGTATACGGCATCGAGAACAAACAGACCCTTCCTCTACGGCTCACCAGCGATAAGAAGGAGAAGTATATCAATCTCCTGTATCTGCAAGATCCGTGCGACGACAATGTGGGTCATTTCGCATGGATCAAGAACCTGTCGCGCCTTGTGAGATCACAACTTACCAGGAAAAAGGTTAAGAAATATTTCTGCGATCGGTAAGTACGCACATAAAAAATTATTTTCCATCTTACTAATAAAAATAATGGTAATAGTTATAATTTATATGCGTTTTTTCCAGATGCTTGCACTACTTTAGTACGAGCGAAAAATTGCAGTCGCACGAAGTGGACTGCCAAAAACTGAACGATTGCGCCATCCGCCTGCCGAGCGAGAACGATAGGTGGCTCGAATTCAGCAACCACCGCAACCAGGAACGAGTGCCGTTCGTCATCTACGCTGACCTGGAGTGTGTCCTGCGGAAGACAGAGCCCGACAAGGTAGACGTGTCAACATCGTACGCGTATCAGCGGCACAAGGTATGCAGTGTGGGCTACTACGTGCGTTGCTCGTACGACAACTCGTTGTCGTCATATCACTTCCGTCGCGACGAAAATTGTATAGCGTGGTTCACCGAGGAACTCAGAAGTTTAGCGCATCGCGTCAAAGATGTTATATCCGCCAACGTGTCCATGGAAGCGTTATCCAAGCAGCAATGGGAGGCGTACCGCAGCGCGACGCGTTGTCATATTTGCGATAAGCCGTTCGCGTCGGACGATACGCGGGTCCGCGATCATTGTCATCTAACCGGTAGATACCGCGGTCCCGCGCATTCAAATTGCAATTTAAATTATAAAAATTCGATGTATATTCCAGTTGTATTTCATAATTTATCGGGGTACGACGCTCATTTCATAATCAAAGAAATAGCTACCGCGTACGATGGAAATGTAGATGTATTACCGATTACGAAAGAAAAATACATATCA